AAAGAGTGGGGGGGGTGGGGCAGGGAGGGGCTGAAAGCCAGGGTGCCTGGGTCCTTGTAGGTGGGGGTAGAGGCCTCTGGAGAGCATCGCTGTGAATTCAGGCACCTGAGGAAGGCCTGGTACGACACGTTCAAATGTTTTTAAGCAGTAGAATCCTGCCCCCTCCCATCCTTTCAAACACGCTGAAGCCCAGTATACAAAGCAGCAGCTCTGATTGGGATGAGTTGGGGCCTCCCTGGAAGACCCATAAGGGCACATCCAAGCGCGCTGGCCTCGGTTGCCTCCTGTCTACCTCCCAGATCTTCCTGGCGGCTTATTCTGATCTTTCGTCTCCCCACCCTTGGGTCCCACTTGGTTGGGGCTCTGCCACCCCTCCTCCCTCTACATGCGGCTTCCTCAAGCCTCTTCCTACCCTGCCCCGCTCTTTCAGGGTTTTTGTGGCTGCCTCTAAGTTCCAGCCCCTCCTGTACCCCCATCTCAGCCACCACCCTCTTTCTCTTGCCTTCCGCCTCCCTCTGTCTCTCTTCCCCCTCACTCCCAATGGGGCCCTGGGTGCCTCTCCCCCCTCCCCTTCAGTCACCAAGTTCAGGCCATTCACCCCACCACGAAGTGTTTGCAGTCTGTCCCCCTCCCCCATTGCATGCCCTGCCAGCCAGCCCCCCACCCCACAGCACATCCCACCCCCTGCTTAAGGCCTGGGTTTGAATCCCAGTCCAGAGCTGTGTGGCCTTCTTGGTGCCTAGGTTTCCTCATCTGTAAAGCGGAGTTACCACGTGTGCCCTGGCTGCTTCTTCCTAGGGTTGCCTTAAGGCAAAGCGAGTCCCCTGGGGTGGTGTAGGGCACCCAGGGAGATCGATTAAGTCACATTGTGGTGCAGTCCTTAGGTGAGGGCGAGAGGGGTGGCTACAAGACCCCGCCCATCTGGCCTCCGCCCCCTCTCCTCAGGGTCCAAGAGCCCGCCATCTCCCCGAGGCACGTGCTCTCTCCCACCTCCTCTCCTTTGCATGCAGACCCCCTGCCTGGAACACCGTCACCCCTTCCTCTGGCAAACTCCCCCACACCTGCACCTCATGTCTCAAGCCAGGTGCCCTATTTTCCCGTCCCGATGCCATCCTCCCTGGTCCAGACCCGCAACGACCCCCCCGCCATAATTGGGTCCACGTAATTGTATGTATGCGGAGGGGTTATGTCCGGTGGCCCTGACCCGCCATGATCCACCCCCCCTCCTCGCCCCGGCAGAGCATGTGCCCTCGGAGCTGTGGGAGCCCTTCTACACCGACCAGTATGCGCAGGAGCACGTGAAGCCCCCGGTGACGCGGCTGCTGCTCTCGGCTGAGCTCTACTGCCGGGCCTGGCGCCAGGCGCTGCCGCAGCTCGAGACGCCCCCCAGCCCCTCTGCGCTACTGGCCCTGCTGGCGCGGAGGGGCATGGTGCCCGCGCTGCCTGAGCGCCCGGTGCAGGAGGCCGACCTGAGGCACCAGCCTATCCTCATGGTAGGCCACGCCCCTACCTCGTTAGGTCCCGCCCACCAGGCCTGGCTCCTCCCCTCATGGCAGCTCCCAGCAGGCCAGGCTCCTCCTACCAAGCCTGGCGCCTCCCAAAAGGCGCTAACTCTGGCTCCTGAGGACTTGCCTACCTGGCCCACCAGACCCCTAAGGCCTAGTTTGTGACCTCAAAGCTTGGACTGCCTCCCAAGCCCCTTCCACTTCGAGCCCCTCCCACCTCCAGGTTCTTCCTCTTTCTTCTCCCTGGGAGGCGCTCCGGTCTCACCCTTCAGCTCTTGCCTCCACAGGGAGCCCACCTAGCTGTCATTGATGCCCTCATGGTTGCCTTCGCCTTTGAGTGGACGAAGACACTGCCTGGTCCCTTGGCCCTGGCCAGCTTGGAGCACAAGCTCCTTTTCTGGGTGGACACGGTAGGTGGGGCTTGGGCCAAGGTGGGCTTGCGGGGGCCAGGATCACCCAGTGACTGGAGCACTGACCTCTCGCTGCTCCCCAGACCATCCGGCGGCTGCAGGAGAAGACAGAGCAGGAAGCTGCCCAGAGAGCATCTCCCGCGGCCCCTGCCGATGGGGTGGCCCCAGCACAGGCTTCGGTGAGCCTGGGGCGATGGATGGAAGGAAGGAAGGAAGGAAGGAAGGAAGGAAGGAAGGGCTGCCCCTCGAGGGCTGGGTGGGCAGGTTGGAGCTGTGCCTCGAGGCCATGCCTGCACTGGGCGGGCTGGAGGTGACTCTCTCTCTCTGCCCTCTCCCCTCTGCCGCCCCTGCCCCTCTTCTCTCTGCCTCTCTGGCATCAGTGTCCCACACGCTGGTACTGGAAGCTGGTTCCTGTAAGTGGGGCTGTCTCTCTGCCCCGTCTGCCTGCCCCGCTTGTCGCTGTCTGTGTGTCTGTTTCTGCCTGCCTGTCCTGCTCCCTCTCCTGTCTCTCCCCAGATATGAGCAAAGGAAGTAGGACCCCAGCCCTGGGGGCACAGAGAGAAACCCTTTGGGAACCAAGGGAAGGGGGGAATCTCTGCTGTTCCTGAAAGGACAGACTTCTCCCTGGTACATGACTCACCTCCCAGTAATCAAGAGGCTTGTCCACTTGAGCCAAGGTGGGGAGAGGGAGGACCCCAGCCCATCAGACACATGGATCCTGACCCCAACAGGCAGGGCACATGGAGAAGACCCCTCCAGCCAAGAGAAAGATCCTCAAACCCAAAAGAGGGTAGAAGAACCTTCCTGAGACTCCAGCTTCCCTAAGGACAGCTCCCTGGTCTCAGTTTTGGGGGCAGTGGGGTGTCCATCCCTGAAGTACAAGGGGAAAGTGACCACTGCAGGTGTAGGGGGGAGGTTTGGGGCTGAAGTCCCTGCCTTTGCTCACTTCAGGGTCTCCTTCCCCCCACACTAGGGCCTGGGTTGGGGGTTCCTCTCCTGCCTTCCTGCTTCCTCTGCATCCCCTCCCCCAGCTGGGACCTGGGTCTTTTGTTGGGGGGAGAGGATTCCCTGCATGAGTGGCTGCTCTGTGGGGTCCCTCCTGGCTGGGAGGAGCTGGGGTCCCCAAAGCCGGCCAGGGCGCAGTCGGGGAGCTGGATGGCCAGGGCTCAGGGCAGGGGCCAGGGCTGTCTCCTCCCCCGCCGGAGGTGTGCTTGGGGGCCCAGCAAGTCAGCACCCCTCCCGCCCCGCTGACAGCTGCTCCTCTCCCCCCAGCACGCAATTGCCTTCTGTTTGAAGGAGTCGGGGAGCAAACCCCCCATGGTAACGTATCCCCCACCCCAGGGTCCCAGGAGTCCCTGTCCCCAGCCCCCGCTGCTGGCCTGGCTGCTCGCAGACACCTCCTCTGCCTCTTGCTGCTGCCCTTCCCCTGCTCCAGGCTGGCCCCCCCCACTCTGGCTCTGGGACCCCCGGCTTCACGCCCCCTCGTGGCGGAAACCCCAGGCCTCCCCGCCCAGCCTGCATGACTGCTGACCTTCGAGGGGGCCAGCTTGACCTCTGACCTGACCCGGCTCCCACCCACAGATCCGATATCGCAAGGACCGCGCCGTGGCCCGACGCGCCCCCTGCTTTCCGACCGTGACCAGCCTCCAGGACCTGGCAAGTGGGGCTGCGCTGGCCGCCACGATCCACTGCTATTGTCCCCAGCTCTTGCGACTCGAGGGTGAGTGAATGTGCCTGAGCCAGGCCCTGTCCTTGCAAGCCTGGCACCCATGCATTGGCGTCTGTCCCCAGAGTAACGCAGCGATTACAAGTGCAGCTCCCAGAATTGGCAGACCTGGGTTTGAACCTCTCTCTTCCCGTAATGAGCTGTGTGACCTTGCACAAGTGTCTAAACCTCTCTGCGCTTTATACAGTTCACTCCTGCAGCAAATACTGATAGAGTACAAACTGCCAGATCCTGTTTTAGGTGCCAGAGATCCAACCAGAACAATACAGACACGTTCCTGACCTCAGGCGGCTCACACCCTAGTTGGGAGAGAAAGACAATAAGTTCGAGAGGAATGTTCCGGATGTTAGGTGTTCTGAAGGGCACTGGGTAGTCGGGATAAGCTTTCTGAGTTGAGTTCTTGGGGAACTAGCACTCCAGGTGGTGGGAACAGCAGATCCAAAGGCCTGAGGAACAGCCTGTCACGGTACACACCTTGTGAAGGGGGGCCTAGCCTGGCTCGTCAGAGGTCCCCTGTGCATGTTGGCTGCTGGGCCCCCGCTTCCCCGGGGCCCCATCCTCCTTCCCTTAGAGCTGGGGATGCAGGCATCCTGTCCTTACAGAGGTGTGCCTCAAGGACCCCATGTCTGTGGCGGACAGCCTGTACAACCTCCAGCTGGTGCAGGATTTCTGCGCCTCCCGCCTTCCTCGGGGCTGCCCGCTCTCTCTCGAGGACCTGCTTTATGTTCCACCGCCCCTCAAGGTAAGGCCATCTCGGGGCCTTGTGGGCAGAGGTGGGGTGTCGGGGGCTGTGCGCCTGGTTGGCTGACCCTGCTTTCCACCTCCAGATCAACCTGATGGTGCTGCTAGCGGAGTTGTTCATGTGCTTTGAGGTGCTGAAACCCGACTTCGTACAGGTCAAGGATCTGCCTGATGGTCACGGTGAGGCCCAACCCTGGGTCCGGGGGGCATGGGGGCGGGGGAGGCTAAGCCCTGCCTGACCCTCCGCTCTGTGCTGCAGCTGCCTCCCACAGGGCCACGGAGGCCTCCCCACCTCAGAACAACAGTGGCAGCAGGTACCACTCCCCTGTTGGGTTGAGACTACACAGCCACAATGGGCTCCTCCTCCTGTGGGGACGGGGAAGGGAGATGATCTGGTCTCCACTCCCAGGAGGGGCGAGGGAGGGGGAGAGGGGGCCCCTCGGCTGACGCGCATCTCTTGGCAGTTCTCCTGTCTTCAACTTCCGCCATCCACTCCTGTCATCAGGCAGCCCCCAGTCCCCACTCCGAGGATCCACAGGTGAGGGCAGGAAGATGGCTTGTCACTGGAGACCCCCATCCAAAGACCACCCCAGCTGACCTCATGTTGTCCCTCTAGACCCCTCCATTGGGTCCCTCTGGCACCCGAATGACTCCTTGGTGACACTCATTGTCCCCCCAGTGACCTCCCCAGTGGCTCAACAGGACCCCGTAGTGACACCACCCACAGTTATCCATCCGCATAATGACCCATCAGTGACTCACCCATTGACAACCCGTGGCTGATGCCACCCAGGGTCCCCAGTGACCCCCCGAGTGAGCACTGAGTGACCACTCACTGCCCCTCCCCAGGCTCGCTGAAGTCCTCCCCGTCCATGTCCCACGTGGAGGCCCTCGGCAAAGCCTGGAACCGTCAGCTCAGGTGAGCGCATCGCAAGGGCCCGGGCAGTGGGGCGGGTGGGGCCCAGGCTTGTCCCAGGGGCTGACCCCTCCCTCCGGCCGCCCAGCCGTCCCCTTTCCCAGGCCGTGTCGTTCAGCACTCCCTTTGGCCTGGACAGCGACGTGGATGTTGTCATGGGAGACCCCGTCCTACTCCGCTCCGTCAGCTCAGACAGCCTGGGTCCCCCGCGCTCTGTGCCAGCCCGGACCCCCACCCAACCAGCCCCGGAGACTGGCGACCTGCCTACCATCGAAGAGGCCCTGCAGATCATCCACAGTGCCGAGCCCCGGCTGCTCCCGGATGGGGCTGCCGACGGCAGCTTCTACCTCCACTCTCCCGAGGGGTCCTCCAAACTGCCACTGGCTTCCCCCTACCCACCCGAGGGGGCCTCAAAACCACTGCCCGACGGGCCCACCAAAGCACCCACCTACTCGCCCCACCCCGAGGGCCTCTCGAAACCGTCTCCCTGCCCAGTGGGGGAGGTATCGAAACCGCCAGCCCTGTCTGAGGGCTCCCCGAAGGCGGCGGCTTCGTCCCCAGTGGCCAGCAACTCCGAAGTGAAGATGACCAGCTTTGCTGAACGCAAGAAGCAGCTGGTGAAGGCCGAGGCTGAGGCAGGGTCCCCGGCAGCCACCCCAGTGGCACCAGAGGCCCTGAGCTCAGAGATGAGTGAGCTTGGAGCCCGGCTAGAGGAGAAACGCCGGGCCATAGAGGCTCAGAAGCGACGGATCGAGGCCATTTTTGCCAAGCACCGCCAGCGACTGGGCAAGAGCGCAGGGTGAGCCGTCGCCACGGCCAAAGGCAGTGACCTTCTCGCCGGAACTGGGCCCGGTGCCCCCTGAAGGGCTGGGGGACTATAACCGGGCAGTCAGCAAGCTGAGTGCAGCGCTGAGCTCGCTGCAACGGGACATGCAGAGGCTCACGGACCAGCAGCAGCGGCTCCTGGCCCCGCCAGAGCCCTCCGGGCCTGCCCCGCCTCCCGCAGCGTGGGTCATCCCTGGTCCCACGACGGGCCCCAAAGCCGCGTCCCCCAGCCCCGCCCGGCGCGCTCCAGCTGCCCGGCGCAGCCCCGGGCCTGGCCCCAGCCCCACACCCCGGAGCCCGAAGCATGCGCGGCCGGCGGAGCTGCGGCTAGCACCCCTGACGAGGGTGCTCACGCCTCCCCACGATGTGGACAGCCTGCCCCACCTGCGCAAGTTCTCGCCGAGCCAGGTGCCCATGCAGACACGCTCCTCTATCCTTCTGGCGGAGGGGCCGCCTCCCGAGGAGCCCGCGGCCCGGCCTGGCCTCGTCGAGATCCCGCTGAGCAGCCTGGAAGAGCCCACGGCTGAGGATGACGGAGATGGGAGCCCCCCTGGTGCTGAGGATTCCTTAGAAGAAGAGGCATCTTCAGAGGGAGAGCCCCGGACCGGGCTGGGATTCTTCTATAAGGTGAGAGTCACCTGAGCAGGTGGGGGAGGGGCCAGGTGGGTAGGTGGATGGATGGTCAGGGATGGGTGGGCGGGTAGGTAGACAGGCGGTCGCATGGATAGGGCTTTCCCAATGGATGGACAAACAGATGGAACTGGGGGGGCGGGAACAGAGGTGGATGGGTGGTTAGCCAGGTGGCAGCTGGCAGACAGACAAGGTGTGTATGTCCCGATGGACACATAGATGGGATGGGTGGATAGACAGAGGGAGAGCAGGTAGTAGACAGTTGGACAGGGCTGGGCGGATGGATGGATGGGTGGCTGACGGGCAGATGGATAGGAGTGGGTTTAGACAGATGAGGCTAGGGTCCTCTATGGTATCCCCTCCCTCCTGTTCCCTCCTTCATCCCCTACCGGCCCCCCTTCCTGACTCTTCCGTATCCAGTCACTCTTCCTGTTGGCATCCCCAGCCTGGGCCACCACCTCTTACCTGGACGCCTGCAGTCATGTCCTGATTGGTCTCCACTGCCCACCCCTCACCACACACCAATCCCTGGCCATTTTCAACTGAGCGGTCAGCAAAATTTATTTAAAATGTAAATTGGACCTTGTCACCCCCTTATTTAAAACCCTTCTGTAGGTCCTCTCTGCTCTTAGAATAAAAGTCTTTCCCATGGCCGTAGGCTCTGCTTGCCCCTGACCTCATCCTATGGCATCCTCCCCAGCTCTGCATCCCAGCCACACTGGCTCCCTGTTGTTTCACACCTGCTAGGCTTGTTCTGTTCTCAGGGCCTTTGCACTTGCTATTCACGCTGCCCAGAATGCCCTCCTCACCGCTCACCACCTCCCAGTTCAGTCCTCATCATCATTCTCGGAGGTTGCTTCCTCTGGGAGGCCCCTCTCGGTGTCCCCAGGCCGGGATAGGTCCCTCCCCACAGTGTAGACTGACAGCAGCCTCTGCTGGTGTTCACCAATGTTGGTGTGATACCTGATTGCCTTCCTCGCTGGGTTAAGCGCTTGGTGTGCCCAGAACCCAGCATGGGGCTGTGCGTACAGCAGGTGCCCACCAAGTGCCTTCAGACCAATTACAAACACTCAAGGACAGGCGAGCGGCTGGCAGGCTGGGTCGACACAAGGTCAGAGTCCAGCCGAACCAGGCGAGGGACAGCCAGCTCCACTTGGTGCCTGCCCCCAGGATGAAGACAAGCCCGAGGACGAGATGGCCCAGAAGAGGGCCAGCCTGCTGGAGCGTCAGCAGCGGCGGGTGGAGGATGCACGGCGGCGGAAACAGTGGCAGGCCGAGAAGGAGCAGCGGAGGGAGGAGGCTGCGAGGTGAGGCTGGACCCAGCCTGGGGAGTCTCCCGCCGCCACTGGCGTCCCCACAACCTGACTGCTTCGATCCCCTCAATCTGCAGGCTGGCCCAGGAGGAAGCAGCCCCTGGGCCCCCGGCCCCCGCAGCTCCTGCGGCCGCTGCCTCAACCGCAGCCCCTGCCACCCGGGCCCCAGCCGAGGAGGAGGTGGGCCCCCGGCGGGGGGAGTTCACGCGGCTCGAGTATGAACGCCGGGCCCAGCTGAAGCTGATGGATGACCTCGACAAGGTGCTGCGGCCCCGGGCGACGGGGAGCGGGGGGCCGGGCCGGGGCGGTCGGAGGGCCCCCCGGCCACGCTCCGGTTGCTGTGATGACTCGGCCCTGGCGCGGAGCACAGCCCGTGGCCTGCTGGGTGAGGCCCCCGTGGGTGTGTGGGGCGGGCAGTGCAGGACACATCCGCAGGGCCGAAGCACGGGCTCCCAGGGGTCAAGGCTTCCACAAGGATGTGGGGCTGCAGCGGGGTAAGGGCCATGGGCAGAGCTGGCCTGGGGTTCTCTCCACAGCTTGACAGGGGAAGGGCCGCTTCCAACAGCCTGGCATGGTGGGGTGAGGTGGGGAGGTCATTCTCCAGCGAGGCTGCTTAGGGTGAGGGTCTTGGACAGGGCTGACCGCACATTCCCTCACCAGCCGGCCAACTAAGGTCCCCTGAGCATATGTGGAGGTAAGGGGACTTCAGGTGGGGCCTGACCCGACACCCTCTGCTCCCAGGCTCTCGGCTCAGCAAAGTCTACTCCCAGTCCACCCTGTCTCTGTCCACTGTGGCCAACGAGGCGCCCAATAACCTCGGCGTGAAGAGGCCCACGTCTCGGTGAGTTCAGCCTGGGCGGGCAGGCGTTTGTGTTCCAGGTTGCCTCTCAGAGAAAAAAAGGAGAGGAGAGAGAGAGAGAGAGAGAGAAAGAGGGGAGAGAGAGAGAGAGAGGAGAGAGAGAGAGAGAGAGACCGGGAGAAAGACAGAGACAGAGAGCGAGTGGCAGAGACAGAGACAGAGAGCGAGTGGCAGAGACAGAGACAGAGGCAG